CGGCATATTGGGCTGCATTTGTAGGAGCATTGCCAGCAGATCGAGGGAAGTGATTATTCTCCTCTATTTGGCACTGGTGAGGCCACATCTGGAATATTGTCCAGTTTTGGACCCGCGACTACAGAAAGGATGTGGACAAATTGGAGAGAGTCCAGCGGAAGGCAACAAAAATGATTAGGGGGATGGGGCACATGGCTTATGAGGAGAGGCTGAGGGAACTGGGCTTATTTAGTCTGCAGAAGAGAAGAGTGAGCGGGGATTTGATAGCAGCCTTCAACTACCTGAAGGGGGGTTCCAAAGAGGATGGAGCTAGGCTGTTCTCAGTGGTGGCAGATGACAGAACAAGGAGCAATGGTCTCAAGTTGCAGTAGGGGAGGTCAAGGTTGGATATTAAGAAAACTATTTCACTAGGAGGGTGGTGAAGCACTGGAATGGGTTACCTAGGGAGGCGGTGGAATCTCCATCCTTAGAGGTTTTTAAAGCCCAGCTTGACAAAGCCCTGGCTGGGATGATTTAGTTGGGTTTGGTCCTGCTTTGAGCAGGGGGTTGGACTAGATGACCTTCTAAGATTTCTTCCAATCCTAATCTTCTATGATCATTATCTAACATCAGTACAGTGCTTTAGAAACTTAAAGAATTAGATGAGTATTTACTAAGTGTTATTAAATTGCTCATGTGGACAATTCTAAAGAGGAGACCGTATCTCAGCATTTGCACGTAGTACACATTGTGCAGTGCTACTGGGGATGTGTTATGGTCAGCAGCACAGGCACAGTGCCCTACTATTGCAAGGGTGCTGTGTGGTTGTGTGAAGTGATGATGGGAACAAGAGAGAAATTTAAAATAATGAGAGAGAAAAGTAAAGACACTGAAATGGCCTTGAGGAGATTGTTCTACTGGACTAAAGGCAGAGCATCTGAATTCAAGCCTAAGCTACAGTCACATAGCACAGAGTAGGCCCATTACTCAACGAGAGGGGAAAGACAATAACAGAAAATGTGGAAATGGCAGAGGTGCTTAATGACTTCTTTGTTTCGGTTTTCACCAAGAAGGTTGGTGGTGATTGGACGTCTAACATAGTGAATGAGGTATGATCACAGTGAAAATGAGGTAGGATCAGAGTCTAAAATAAGGAAAGAACAAGTCAAAAATTACTTAGACAAGTTAGATGTCTTCAAATCACCAGGGCCTGATGAAATGCATCCTGGAATACTCAAGGAGCTGACTGAGGTGATATCTGAGCCATTAGCAATCATCTTTGAAAAGTCATGGAAGACTGGAGACATTCCAGAAGACTGGAAAAGGGCAAATATAGTGCCCATCTATAAAAAGGGAAATAAGGACAACCTGGGAATTACAGACCAGTCAGCTTAACTTCTGTACCCGGAAAGATAATGGAGCAAATAATTAAGCAATCAATTTGCAAAGACTTAGAAGATAAGGTGATAAATAACAGTCAGCATGGATTTGTCAAGAACAAAACGTGTCAAACCAACCTGAGAGCTTTCTTTGACAGGGTAACAAGCCTTGTGAATGGGGGGGGAAGTGGTAGATGTGGTATATCTTGACTTTAGTAAGGCTTTTGATACTGTCTCGCATGACCTTCTCATAAACAAACTAAGGAAATACAACCTAGATGGAGCTACCATAAGGTGGGTGCATAACTGATTGGAAAACCGTTCCCAGAGAGTAGTTATCAGTGGTTCACAGTCATGCTGGAAGGGCATAACGAGTGGGGTCCTGCAGGGATCGGTTCTGGGTCCAGTTCTGTTCAATATCTTCATCAATGATTTAGATAATGGCATAGAGTACATTTATAAAGTTTGTGGATAATACCAAGGTGGGAGGGATTGCAAGTGCTTTGGAGGATAGAATGAAAATTCAAAATGATCTGGACAAACTGGAGAAATGGTCTGACGTAAATAGGATGAAATTCAATAAGGACAAATGCTAAGTACTCCACTTAGGAAGGAACAGTCAGTTGCACACATACAAAATGGGAAATGACTGCCTAGGAAGGAGTACTGCGGAAAAGGATCTGGGGGTCATAGTGGATCACAAGCTAAAAATGAGACAACAGTGTAACACTGTTGCAAAAAAAGCGAACATCATTCTGGGATGGATTAGCAGGAGTATTGTAAGCAAAACATGAGAAGTAATTCTTCCGCTCTATTCCGCGCTGATTAGGCCTCAACTGGAGTATTGTGTCCGGTTCTGGGCACCATATTTCAGGAAAGTTTTGGACAAACTGGAGAAAGTCCAGAGAAGGGCAACAAAAATAATTAAAGGTCTAGAAAACATGAGGTAGGAATGAAAAAATTGGGTTTGTTTAGTCTGGAGAAGAGAAGACTGAGAGGAGACATAAGTTTTCAAGTACATAAAAGGTTTTTACAAGGAGGAAGGAGAAAAATTGTTCTTCTTAACCTCTGAGGATAGGACAAGAAGCAATGGGCTTAAATTGCAGCAAGGCAGGTTTAGGTTGGACATTAGGAAAATCTTCCTAACAGAGTGGTTAAGCTCTGGAATAAATTGCCTAGGGAGGTTGTGGAATCTCCATCATTGGGGTTTTTTAAGAGCAGGTTGGACCAACACCTGTCAGGGATGGTCTAAATAATAGCCCTGCCTTGAGTGCAGGGGACTGGACTTGATGACCTCTCGAGGTCCATTCCAGTTCTATGATTCTATGATTTCCTGAGAAATGCGAATCTAGCACACTTTGCCTACTTTATCTCTAGAAACCGCTTTTGGCAAAGACAAGGAACAGCACTGAGAGGTTTTGTCAGGAACTGTCTCTTGTCCTCCTTTTCTAGGAGCGTTGCCTAAAAGAGGGGCCTTGGAGGAGACAAGTGAAGCAAGGGAAAAAATCAGGGAGGGGGAAGACTCAAAGACCTATATAGCCAAATGAGAGGAAAAGACTGAGGTGTAAAGAAAAGAGGTAAACACAGTGGGCCAAATTCTGCCCTGAATTACACCGTGTTTAACCTCACTCACTTAAGGGTTACATGAAACTGAGAACAGGGCAGAATTTGGGTCATGATGTCCATTGGGGTTAGGGAGAAGACACACAAATTTACTTTCACTGTTTTACCCTCCTCCAAAAATCAGTCTATTCTCTTGAGAGTGCTTTGGTAACCAAATCAATAACGTGTAACAGTAACTGATTAGACCGGAAGACAAAAGAAACTTTTAAAATAGAAAAATGCTGCTTTCATTTGAAAGAACTGGAGCTGGGAGCAATGGGCAAGAATTAAATTAAACCCTGGGGGAAACTACTCCCAGACAGTTAGAAGAAAAATTGGCTAACGCTTATGTAGTGAAGGTGTTTAAACTATATTTTGTTCAGGGTTGGCTTTAATTAGGAATGTTGGCATACTTTACTCGGGTTTAGAGTACAAGGCAGATGTATTTTTAAGACACCCTGAAACTATTAAACAATAACATCTTTACAAAAATCCCAAAGGAAGTGGAATATATATCTCTAGAAGAAAATATGACTGCTAAATTTGAAGGATGATTATTGAACCTCCAGCTGCTGTATATAGTAGATTCTTAACTTATTTTCTTTCTGAAATTCTCTAAAATAAACAGATTGTTTCTGTCAATATAATTAATTTTTATGTTAGAGACAAAAAGAGGAGATTCTGCCATTGTCAATGTAAACTGGAAAAGTCTATGTTGGATTTAATCTTGTATATCTGACACATTGGTTTTCAAATGTAAAATATAGTTTGAAAAGATACAAGTGCATGGATAGGAACAAGAACTAAAGAGATCAGAGAACTTTGACGTTTTTAATCACATAATTTTTTATATTATCTGGTGGTTTATCAGGTGTTGTATTTTGTGTTGCCTTAGTGTCAATGTTTTTTCTTCAGTCCCAGACAGACTTCATTGTTCTCTTACTATTATACAATACTTGGATCATGTATGATTAAAAATTGATATTTGTATCTGTAAAGTGTGCCTTTAGGGGAAAAATACTTCACGGGTTGGAAGGTTTCGTTTTATTTAAGTGGTGACGTCAAGCAGACATTAATTTAAACTTTCTCTGGGGGCAAGTTATCCTATAACTTTCTAGTGCAGGGTTTCTTGCACCTTCCTTTGAAGCAGTTGTTTGTGCCAATGATACTGAACGAGATGGAGGGCTGGGTCTGACCTAGCACAAAAATTCCTTTGTCCTTTTAGTGTGATGGAATTAGCAAAAATTGTGTAAATCTGAACCTTAGACTAGATATTCAAAAATTGATGTACAGTAACTTTGGATTAAGAGAGAGCTTTATGGTCACTTTTGTTGTATATCTTAGCATGTTGACTGAACATATGTTGTTCCAAATTTGGATAACTTTATCCCTGCATTCATGCTTTTACAAGTGACTTGCAAAAAAAATTGTGCTCTTTATTGCTTCTTTATCATGCAAGATGAAGGTCTGAAAAGTCTCTTCTGCATGTTTTTATATTTATCTTTAAAATACTAGGGACATTAAGTCTATTCTTTCCTAGTTTTGGTGGAAGGCTCCTTGGAGGACTGCATAGCTGAAGTGAGTGTTTTCCACAGCCTTCCATTGAATGAACTATAGGTGTGGATTTGAATCTTTAACAAAGAAAACTTTTTCTCTCAAGAGTTTATCATGCTTTTGAGTTAAATTATGTGTTAATAAATCTGAGCATCCCCACTCAATTGCTTTCAATATCTTCTGATGGCTTACTTCCAAAATTTCCTAATAGTCCATAGGGTTCTTGAGCAAAAATAGGATAGACAAGACCTGATTTAAAAAAGAAAAAGATTTATGATTAATTTCGGTGTTATGGTATATTTGCTGTATTGAAAAAAATTAATAATTATAAATATTAAAAGGGGGAAGAGTGTACAAATACTACTTTTCTTTGCAATTCACCTTTGATTAGAGTTGGTCCATACTTGTTGATTCTTAGAATAAATTCAGTAGTGGTGTGTGTATTGTGAAGTTTTTAATAATTATACTCTTTCTCTATTGAAGGCTGCAGATAGAAGAATCTTCTAAACCTGTAAGACTATCACAGCAATTGGACAAAGCTGTAACAACCAATTATAAACCTGTGGCTAATCATCAGTATAATGTAAGTTACTTTAACCTTTTTCCCTGCTAATCTTAATCACTACAAGTCTCTAAGGAATATAGTTGCTCTATGTAATGACTCCCCTGTAGGTCCAGGCTTTCTGTGGCCTTTTTTCATATCAAAAGTCTTCGCCTTTGAAAATCCCTTTTTTCTATGGTATAAAGATTCTGCATATGTTTTGTTTCCTGGATAACTTCCTTCTCTCTGGAGTTCAGCGCCAATCCAGTGGCTAAGAACTGCTGATTCTAATTCCTCTTTGTTGCATGGCAGAGGCATAGCAGAACTCTCCTTCCTGTTTTTCCTTCCACAACCTCTTTCTGCTGTTTTTATTACCTCTCATCTTTAGTCATGTCTGAAATTCAATTTCATGGCCTTAAGGGCAGAGACACTGTACCATGAGATTGTACATTCCACTTTTGGGTCATGCATAATAACAATAATGTATTCTGCAGATGTAAAAGGCTAAGGAAGTATCTTTAACTTCTAAGCCTTTGCAGCGAGTTTCCTGAATGACGGGAAACAATTGGTAAATCTTTGCATCATTATTCCTTCATAGTACATATTTTCTGTTTCAATTACTCTAATAATATTACATCCATTTTGCAGGTCAGTGTCATCTGGTATGAATACAAGCTATAATGCCCTCCTTCTTAAAAGATCCTTTTTGTGTAATTTGTATGTATGCATCTATAATAAGCAACTTAGATGTTGTATGCGAGGAACATTGTTAAAATTAAATCACACTAAGAATTAGTCACGTATGAGTCATTTGCTCTTTTGTACTTCTGGTTAAGATTTTATTTACATAAAACAAATGACAACATGTATGGTACACAACCATTATTTTAGAATACAATCCAATTTAAGACCTGGTCTACACTTAAAATTTAGATTGATGTAGCCACATCTCTCTGGGTAGGAAAAACTCACTTCCATTTGTGGCATAGCTATGCCAACCTAACCCCTGGTATAGATGCAGCTAGGTCAACGGAATAATACTTCTATCAACCTATCTACTGCCACTCAGGGAGGTGAACTACCTACAATGATGGAAAACCCCCTTCTGTCACTATAGGCTGCGTCTACACTACGGGATTAGTGCAGCATAGCTATGATGCTGTAGCTATGCCACTGTAGTCCCCATAGTGTAGACAACCTATTCTAAGAGGTCACAAAAGAATCATTCCTTTCTCAGAGCACACTGCTTTTGTAGTAGCTATAGTCTAAGGACTGATCTACGCACAGATTTCATACCAGTATTCCAGTTAGGAATGTGACTTTTTACCAAAATAGTTATACTGGTAAACTTTTTAGTGTAGATGCAGTTATACCAGCATGCATGTGCCTTATCCTGGTATAATTTATTCCTCTTCCAATACTGAAATAAGCAACAACAGTAAACTTCTGTCTCACCACACTGGCTAACAAGAAATCAGGTAATCGGTTTCCTTAAATATTCCAGTCCTCGTATCACCCCCCAAAACACTGGATTTAAAGATGAGTGGTTCTTTACAACCAGTCTCATCAAATAAAAGGTTCTTCTGATCCCAAGGACCAGCCACACACCCAGGTCAATATACAACTCAGATCTTACCCAAAAATCACACTGATGCCAAACCTTTAGTATCTAAAATCTAAAGGTTTATTTATAAAAAGAAAGAAAGGTGAAAGTTAAAATTGGTTAAAGGAATCAAATACATACAATAATTGCAAAGATCTGGTTCAGGCTTGTAGCAGCAATGGAATAAACTGCTGGCTTGTTAAGTCTCTGGTTGCTTCCAAATCATTGGAAGAACCTCAGTCCCTTGGTTAGAATGCTCCCAATAGTATAAGTCCATAGTCCAGAGGTTTGAGCATGAAAGAGGCTGGACCAAGAAAGAGGCAAAGTTGAAGGGATTTCCAAGGCCTTTTATAGTTTCTGCCATGTGGAAGGAAACCAATTGTTTCAAACAAAGCCCTCAGCACAGCTAATGGAAAATTACAGGTAAAAGATGGGAGTTTGGAGTCACATGGGTAAGTCACATGTCCATGCCTGATTTCGCTTAGTCATAGCAGGAAGCCATTACCTATACTTCAGATGGAACGTTCACAGGAAAGTCCATTCAGTTTAGATGGTCATCTCCCATGGTCCATTGTGAGTTAAGTATCCTTTTGATGGGCCACTCAGTTTGAATAGTCCCTCCAAGATGCGCTGGCTAACTACCTTGTGGGCGTTATTCCAGAAGCAAACATTTGAAATACAGGTATAGCACCAGTACTCATAACTTGAAATACAAAAATGATACATGTATACAAATAGTATAATTATATTCAGCAAATCATAACCTTTCCATAGACATCTTACATGCCACATTTCGTACAAGATTTGTTGCAAATATATAACAGTGGTTGCAGCAATGATCTATATGGTCCTATTTTAATCAGAGAACATCGCACCATATTAGGGGGCTATACTACTTTGACTCTACCTCTGTAGTTAAAACAGTATAACTTTTGTGTGTAGACAAGCCCTAAAGTTTTAGTCTAGTTATAGACTACAGTCATGATGCTATTGATACTACAACTTTCAACAGTCTTGTAACACAGTTGTCCCCCCAGCCTGTTACTAGATCTCCTAGGGTACGTCTACACGGCAAAGAGAAACCCATGGCTGGCCCGTGCCAGCTGACTTGGGCTCCTGGGGCTTGGGCTGAGGTGCTGTTTCATTGCTATGTAGACTTCTGGGCCCGGGCTGGAGCATGGGCGCCGTGTGAACCACTGTCTGGGGGCGGCTAGCCCCCAGACTCCCACCCCTTCCACCCGAGGTCCAGCCCCTTCCATGCCCCCGGAACCCAGATCCTCCCCACCGTGGCTGCCGGTCCCTGTCCCATGCTGGCTAGTGCCCGCAGCCTCCCCCAGCCTCGGAGCGCCAGGAGGGATAGCGCACAGCAGCGCCGCTGCAGCCTCCCCAGCGTGCCAGGAGGGAGAGCACGCGGCACTGCCGCAACCCTGGGAAGTGGGGCCCTGGGGTTGCAGTGTGGGTGGGGCCATGCCTGGCTGTTTGGGGAGGCAGAGCCTCCGCAGCCTCCCCTACCCACCGCCCATAGGCTGGAGCCTGAGCTCTGGAACCCTCCCACCTCACAGGGTCCTAGAGCCCAGGCTCCAGCCCAAGTCCAGATGTCTACCCAGCAATGAAACAGCACTGTAGCCCAAGCCCCATGAGCCCGACTTGGCTTGCCCATGTCTAGTTGCTGTGTAGACGTACCCCTAATGAGAATGTGGTTGTAATATTGGAGTACCCAAATTGTAACATTGTTAGCATTTTGCACAGTTGGTCATGTTGATATAAACATCCAGAAGACATACGGTACGTATCCAGTATGGTTAGTTGTAGAACTTCTGATGGAAAAAGCCTATTAAAATAGATCACTTGCATCATATCATCCCTCCTTCATTCCCCACCAAATGCCAGTGCAGGACTGTTTTCTACTTCTCCAGTCCGTTGAATCTAGATTTAGATGTCCCAAATGGTGAGTCTTCTCCCATTTCTCTTTAAAGATCATTCCACAATCTTTTAAGATCTCTCAGTTAAATTTTTCCTGGCTTTTTCAGTCTGAAATTATTTTGTTAAACTCATCCCATATTCTCAGTTATACCATACTGCTCTAATAAGGGCAGCAGTTACCAGGGGACAGGAAAGAAAAGGAAAAATATGAAGTAATGTGGGAAGGGGGAAGAAGGGCAATCATCTACCATGGAAGAGGGAGACTCCCAGGAAGGGCAAAAATGAAAGGAACAGAACAAATGAAAGGGGTGGAGCTACTGACGGGAAGGTGCATAGTAAGTGGGACATGAGTATAACTCCACCTCTTCGCCCTCTCCCGCCCCATGATGGGAGGTACAAAAGGGAAGGGTCGGAAGAAGAACTGGAGGTGTGCGGGGGGAGTGATATCTGCAATCTCTTTTCTTCATATTTTTTTTAATGACATCCCTCATCCATCAGTATGAGAATGGAAGGGGAGAGATTCTTTCTCTCCCAAAATGAAATTAAACCCTGCCTTCTCACTAGAATATTGTAATTGTAATGTTATTGTAACTGGTAATTGTAACTTACAGTTTTAGTTCTTTGGGGAAGGGAATTTCTCCTTATATATTTATAAATGCATGCCTGTGGTGTTCTAACAATGTTCTCACGGCTATGAAACTTCTGTTGCTTTACCGTCTTTTATCATACGCTAACAAAGCTCTCTAGGCTCCACTAACTGTGTCTACATCACTTTCAGTTTGTTTGTTTTAACAATGCAAATAAACAGAATATCTGTTGGGTGATAATGCAGTCAATAAGACTTCACCTCTGAGTTAATTTTTAAAAAAGTTATTACTTTAATGTGCAGTGCAAAATAATTAACTTTACCTAATCATCTTCAACCATTTGTACCACAACAAGAGTGATAAACACCTAATATATGGAGGATCGTATTATCAAATCATGGTCAGATAGTATTTATTTTCAATTTCCCAAGTCTCTTGAAGTCTTAAATTGAATCTTGCAGATATTGCTGTGTATGGAGCTCACCGTGGCCTTGTTAGCAGTAAGACTTGTATTGTTTGTCAGATGCTTTTGCAGCAATATTGGTCAATAAGTCAAGCCTGAAATCTGACTGACTTTAAGATCAATATTATTTTGCGAGGCCTGAGCCCTAAGAGTGAGATTGTAGCATGTAACTTATTGCCTGCAGTGATGGGGTCCCGAGACATTTGTTTCCCTCATAGAAACAGAATGAAAAGCTCTTGGTTTGGGGCTTAATTTTGTTCATCCCTTAGAAACTATGATGATGGGCACTATATTAAAAACATAGAAAGGGCATTTCAGAGGCATTGTCTCTGATGTTGTAGCATGGGCCGTGGCGGTCCTAGATACATTCTTTCAAAAGGTGCTGCATGCTCTTCCCGCAACAAGAGCCCAATTCGCTCTTATCCCCTCGGGAAAATGTCTTATCCCTTTTCCCCTCTAAATATGC